CCTTTCAGCTGTGCCTGGCTAATAATACAGAAGTTACAATGATATATCACACATGCACTATGTTACCATATCCAATAATATGAAACTGACCTTTAGTCTTTACAAAGTGATCTGTTTTGGTTGTGTTTTAGTAGACTATTATTTTGTAAGATACAGTCATATTTCAATTATTATACTTTATTTATGTATATAGATTATTGCTATTTAGAAATAAGTTTTTAAACTTATTTTTCTTAAAATATAGAACGTTAAATAAAGAAGTAAAGCAAACATTTATCTCTTCAAGTTACAACCTTTGTACTCCATTGCTGCTTGAGGTAGTTTGCTAAGCCTTTTAAAATTTCACACGTGGAAGATATGAAACAAAATAATTTTTTCAGGTGTTACATATATATATACATTTGAATAACCAAAATTACTATATCAGTACTATAGAGTTTTATTGTAATTTATCAGGTTTAATAACTAAGCTCTATTTCAGTCTAAAAAAATATGAAATGTTGACCAGACTAAGGACACAACCTACCTTCTTGAAATCTTGGTTCGAGAGAAAGAGATGGCTTCCTATGACTTTTAAATGGGTAAGAAAGCCACTAGGGGGACATTCTGAGCTTTTGATTCGTTATTTGTGTCATATATAGAAGTGTATATAATTCATACAAAACTATAGACTTAGTATTTTGACATCACATACACCTAATTTGAACCAGTGCTGCATTCAACATACCACGTGACACACAAAAATTGAAGTTTAACTATGTTTTTTAATATTTACTTTTAAATCAAAAAACTGAGTAATGTAATACTAAAATTTGAATTATAATTTACAGTTTGATACCAAACTTATTTACAAATGTTTTTTGAAATAGTAGTTCAATAAAATTGTGAATGCGAGTCAATAAATGAGATGACATGGCCTTTCAGCCATGACCCATCTGGAAAGGGTTAAGTTTTTATTGGATATGACAAAGTAGGTAATTATATAAAAAAATACTGTTAAGTCCCTTATAAAATATAAATTGTCCCTACTTTTCCCTACTAAAGACCCTAATTTTTGAAAAACTTTGTCCTTCTGAAGTCTCTACTTTTTCTGAGGGATCCTGTTGGAAGGCCTGCTAGTGCTAAAAATGTGCATTTTCTATGAATAAAGAGTAAACTTTTTTTTTATATATAACTGGAAGTGACATCTTGGATATAAGAAAATTTTATATACACATGTCTGTACTTCTTTTTTTCCCAAATGTAACACTTTCTCTAGAGAAATTTGGAAACTACTTGGGAGTTCCATGGTTAATTGCATTTATAATGTTGGAATAACAAAATGCATTAAATGTGTGACCATCATTAGTGAGTAAAACACAGTTCACAACGAATATAAAAATTACTTTGAATAACTTGTTATATATTTCATACTATCTAAAACATGGCTTGACCAATTTCATTACCTTTCTGCTGAATCAATGACTTTCCTACGCATGTTTTCAACAAGCACAACAGGAGGATTACTCTCTCTACGTCCATCCCTATTCACATAATAGTTCAAGTAAAGTTTATGTGAGGGGCCATTAGGTAGCTTAGGCAAAGGTGGAGATCTGACAAACAAAAAGCAAAATAAACAAAGATAAACTTACATACTTTTTATATGTGTATTATATACACAGCTTTTTAAGACTTATTTACATGATGAGTTGATATTTAAACCTACATAATGCAATCAAAATGTATGTAGTAAAAAATGAAACTAATAATCCTTGGTTGTCTTTTGATCAATTTTGGCTTAATTATAATTAACAGATAGATTTGGTGTAAAACAATATTTCAGGTATTAAAGTAAATACACAATGTTTCATCACACTAACTTCATTATTTGGTTTATAAAATAAACATGGAATCCACAGAGCTACTTCTCTCTGGATGGTTAAGCAGCAATACTTTACCATACTGTTGATTTAAAAATTTGTCCCAGCTCCTTTTGGTTCAAACTGTAACATATATATTCATATATCTTGTGGACCTTTGAAAGATCTGTATGATTATCACTTTCCAATAGCATACTTCTCTATCAAGTTATATCACTTTACAACTTGTATATAAAACACAGAGACATATTATATTAGGTCATCAAAAAATTAATGTCACTTTGTTTTTAGATGAAAAAGCCTGAACAACTTATATATCTAAACAAAACATTTATTAAATGAAATAGTCTCCATTCCTATTGATGATGTTTTTCCATCTTATAATCAGGTTGTTACTTCCCTGATTAAAGAAATTGCTTGGCTTTGAAGCAAAAAAAGATGTTGATGTCCTCTTTAACACATTTGCATATGTTTTCCCATTAAGATGGTGTTGAAGTGAATGAAAAAGAAGGTAATCTGATAGTGTCATAAATGGAGAATATGGTGGGTGGGGGAGAACTTCCCAAACCAACTCCATAATCTTGTGTTGTGTCAAACGTGCCACATGTGAACGTGCATTGTCATAGAGAAGAAGAACACCTTTCTGATTGAGGGGTGAAAAGCATTTCTGGTGATGGGCTTGATTTAAACATTACAAATGCTGACTATAGACCTCTGCATTGACAGTTCACAGTGGACAGACGAGTTTGAAATGAATTACTCCTTTGATGTCCCACCAAATGCAAAGCATCACTTCCTGTAGATAGAGTCCAGGTTTTGGAGCCGGAAGTGATTTTTTTTCTAGGACAGAGCCATTGTTTTTGGTATTTAATATTCCCATAGAGAATCCATTTTTCATCACCAGTGACAATTCTGTCCAAAAATGGTTCACGTGCATTACATGCCAGAAGAGATGAAGCAACATTCACACATTGGAAAAAATGATCACCAGAGAATTCGTGAGGCATCCAAACATCTTCTTTATGGAGTTTTCCCATATTTCTTAGATGTTTATATATTGTTTCATGAGAGACATGTAATTTCAGGGCAATTCACGAGTGTGTTGCCTTGGGTTAGACTCCACAAGCGTTTTCAGTATCAATTCCAACATGTTGGCCCCTGTCATCACAGTTTTTAAGACTAAAGTCACCTAAACAAAATTTGCTGAACCATTGTTCACATTTACGAACATTTAAAACATTTCAATAAACTTCTTTGATATTCTTTGTAGCTACAGAAGCATTGCTTCCCTTCTTGTATTCAAGCAGCATTACATCCCAAATGTGTGTCTCGTTGTGTGCCATCACTATAAATGATTAAAGTATACTAAACTTTACACATTATATAGGCTACGCTAATGTGACATTTAGGCAATTTGTTTAACTATTATATGTGATGTATATTTTTTGGGGGGTGGTTAATGAAAGTGTTCCAAAATGCAACATTAATTTCTTGATGACCTAATATTTGTGGGGTTCCTCTTACATCAATTTTCAAAATCAGGTAGGTTAAAAAAAAAATATTTTATTAATCAATAAACTAACCTTGGGGGGGGGATATCGAATATTATTTAAATTTAAGTCTCATACACTAATATGTAATGCTGTTGTTTACAACTCTATTAAAAGTTGTTGGAGTAATCAAAAACAATATGTTTGATGAATTATTTTTGTGACAATCATTTTTTCATAATTTTGACTAATTGATTAGTTTCTATGATATTAATCAATGTAATCACTGCTCATAGGTAATCAATTATATCAATTAAATCACTCAGCTCTACAAACAGCATTTAGCAATATCCATAAAAAAATAGATCCCCAATGGGGTTAGAATAAACACTGGTGAATAAAACGTTTTTAATTGTGTACCAGTTTAACGTTGAATATTATTTATGATTTTAACTGGTGGAAGATATTCAACAAACATGAAAAGGTAGCATGTGCCCAAGTATATGATCTTTCAGCATAATAAGAACTGATAACTTCCACCAGAAAAGACTCACACTAATTAAACAGCTAACAGTACAACCCGAGCAAAAAACATAGTTCAGCAAATGTAAAAGGAAGGACAATAGAAGAAAACAATATCCCTTACTTGCTGAAAGGAATAATTAGGGTAAAGACAAGCACTGAACAAGTCCAATCATAGTTGGGGAGTAATGAATTTGTGTTACTTTGTTACACTACTTAAGTAACTTTTCTGGAATTTACTGTTACTTAAGTATACTCTAAAAATTATTTTACTTTTTACCTCTATTTAAGTAACATCAAGAAGAAATTATCTACTTTTACTTCACAACATTTCCTTTTTAAGATTGTCATTACATTTGAAAAAATTGGAGAAAAAAAAAACACACTGGTTGCCATGGTGATATTTTTGTTTACATCAACCAGAGCAAACCTACTCTTTCAAATAAGACGATCACAAGCAGTGGTATTTCCTGTGCTACTTACTGAGCAGGAACAAAACTGTTACTTAAGTACTCTAAAAATTATTTTACTTTTTACTTCTATTTAAGTAAAATCAAGAAGAAATTTCAGGAACAAAAAGCTGCCATTTTACATATAATGTTGACTGTCATAATTTCATCCCACTGTGACCATAGTGTCTGATACAAATAATCATCCATGGCCGTATTTGAAAAGACTTATTTTCACTGGTAAATTCAGTGAAGTTGCAGCATGCGAGAATTTGTTTAGTTCTGCGGGGCTCTTGTTCACACTGAGACGAGCTAATCTGTCTAGTAGGAACTTTAAAAATCAGCTGCTACTGAAGCTAAATAATAAATAGAATGTGTGAAGAGCTGTACCATAAACAGTAATACTGATTGTTTTAATAAAAATAATATAAAGTTTGTAGAGTTTATATTTGTTTGTGCTTTCTACGTGTGAAATTAGGTTAAATGTATGCTATTTTTAATAATGCTATCATTACTTATTTTTGTCGACAGTTTTGACTTTATTGCTACTTAAGTACTGTATATATTTGGTACTTTTTACTTTTACTTAAATAGTCATCAACAACAGGTACTTTTAGTTTTTACTTGAGTGAATATTTTTTAAAGTAACAGTACTTATACTCAAGTAAATACTTTCAGTACTTTACCCATCACTACAAATGATTTCTTAAATGCAATTAAAAAAAATAAGGAAATTAAATATGACAAAGTTCCAGTATAAAAGAAAAAGTTTTTGAGTATGAATGATCAGAGCCTCCTAAGCAAGTATGCATAAAGGAAAAGATGAAATCAGCATTATAGGCTCAGAGTATAAAATGTTAATGCTTCTGTAACTAAATAAAATATTAGTTGAATGATCCATACAATCAGACCTTCAGATTACCATAATATGGGTAATTATATATAAAGTAATTATAAATAAAATTAGTCCTCATTGCTCCAAGCACAGAAGTCATTTTTTTCCTCAAATTACTTTTTTATACATAAAATAATGAATTGTGGTGCATTTTTTTCCATGTTCTTTGAGTCAAAACAAGATACATTCTTCAGTTAGTGGACATCTGCATGAACAAAGTATTCTACAATTGATATCAATTCATTCCCAGATATAAATTCAACTTCTGTTAAATATGCCACAAAATCTGTTACTGATGGCATCATACAAAATTTCTTAAGTTAGCTGCTTGTACAGTTTTCTTACACTCTTACTGAAATTTTAATATAATGTCTTTCACTTCTGCTGCTTTTATAACATGAGTTATTCTTAGTTAAAGAACAATCAGTAATTTTAGGTCTTCCTGGCCCAAGCATATCAGTTTCAGTATGCCTCAATCGTCAAAATTCAAAGCATTGACAACACATGTGGAAGTATGGTATATGGTGTGCATGTTAAATGGGTAGTACCTGTAATGAAGTGAGTGTATTATGAACTACATTGTCTTAAACTGAACACTGCAAATAATTCCTTAAAAGATAATTAATTAGCTGCAGGTATGACATAGAAGATATTAAAATAGGCTTATACCCTAAAGGGATATCATAGTTGTTAGGCCTATTTTATATCAGACATGCCATTGCACAAAGTGTGCCTACCTACTCCTCTTTTGATATAAGGAAGATTATATCAAGTAGACTATCTATGCCCACACTGGGTAGATACCATTTAGAGAATAATGGTTGGTAAATCGCTGATCCAAACTGGGTACACTCAGTGTTCTATGGCAGATACTCTAGTATTGTCCATTACAGCCAAAGAAAAAATACACATAACACAATAAATTACAAAGTTTTTTAGGTTTTTCACACCAGGAGTAATATTAAGAATATTACTACAAAAATAACTTGGGCACTTTTAGTTTGAGCACACCATTAAATGACACACAAATAAAGTAATCTAAAGACTTTACATTCACCCAGTCATATGAAAACTATTAAATATAAAGATTGCTATAATACCTCTACAGTTCAACCTTGGAACATTTAATCTGCAGCTTGTCATTAAAACAGAGCATGGAATTTACTAATTGATTAACTGTTTGGCTTACTAATCTATTACGTTCAAGCAATTTAGTATTCTCAGATGAAACTTGGATATTTTAAATTGCAGAAAATGATGATAATTGAAAACACTAATTTTGATTAACTTATAAAGCTGGGCAATTAGCTCAATTACTCAAATCCATATAAGCATTGACAACATTGATTAGTCATGTAAAACAATCAATTAACTCTTTGTACATGAACTTGGTCATTTTGACCAACCTTGTAACCACCATTTATTTTCTCTACCCTAACATTGTATACAGGCTTGGTCCATTTGACTTTACACTGTAATAAATAACTAAAATACTCAAAATGATCAACTTTTTTTAAGTAATTAATTAAAAACTATTCAAGCACATGTATAATCCTTTCAACTGCATAGGACAGGAAATCTAAAGTTTGGGTATATAACAACACTGCTTGACTGATAAAAAGCTATGAATGATATTATCTTGAATGTAAAGTGTACATGTCAAGAATGATTTTCAAAAAGAGGGATGTACAAAAACAATATGATTATGCACTGGTGCAGACAACAACTATTCAATCCTGATCCTATCAGTTCTGCTGGGTTATAATTGTCCTGAAATATGTTTGTGCAGGACAGGTAGATGGATAAAACTTTGACTTAATATGTTTTTAAATATCTTTCACCTCAAAATGCATATATAACATTTCCATAAACAGTTGCTGGCACACATGTATCTCAACAACAATGCCTGGTGGAACATATCCCATATACAAATTTCTGAAACCATGTATGGGAAGAATGTCCAAGAATGCAGAAAGCACTCCTTATGTATCCTAGGTCATTTAACTGTATTTATATCATTTCTATTTTATGAAAACAAAAATCATAATGAAAATGTTATATTTAATATTTCCACACTCCAAGTCAACTGTACACTCTTCTTATAAAGATATTTGTACACAGAGTTTACAAAAGGAAAAAGTAAAAACTGATTATATATATATATATACTCATGCCCATCCACTTAATAACGTGAAATATTTTGAATAAACCTCTGTCACTTCTCTTGAAAGTTAACATTTTCCTATACCGAAAATATATTTCTGATAATACTTACCTCCTGTCACACTTTAGTTTTATCATAATGAAAGTTTCTTTTCTCTGCCCATCTAAGCATTGGTATGAATCTTACCTCACTTGCTCCAGCCTTTATACCCCACTGTATTGCCCAAAGCAAAATAAATCTTGTGATTCTCTTCACTTAACGTTAATGCACCCCCTATCCCAGATCTGTATATAAGCTCCATGTTATTACTTCCTATTCACTTTTTAAGATGGTATAATTAGCAGACCCAAAACTGGCCATTTTGTGGGGAGAAAGGGCAGGAGAGTGTGAGAGGTGATAAGTATTATCCAAAATACATTTGCAGTATAGGAAAATGTTAACTTCCAAAACACTCTTACCTCCACTCACTTTAGCTAGAATTTCACATTGACAAGGTGGAGGGCCTGTGAGGGCAAGATCCAAACACAAAGCATCTACATAAAAAAAGAGGTAGGCAAAAATGGGATATAGTAATGGCACATTAGTAGGGTCTGCACTACTTCTAGAACAGGTGTGCTCTTTGTCCAGACAACATGAAATCCAATTCCTGGGTGGTAAAAACCAACCAGTTACAGGGGGAAAAATCGAAACATTGTTAGAAGAAAACAAATTTGTCCAGACCCCAACCAGGCAGACGAGGACCCATGTTTCGTCATTGGAATTATAAAGCTGTAGACTCAAATCTAGATCCAAGGTGTAGTGACTACGGTATGAGAACTGCTTTGTATTTGGTCTTGTTTGATTCTTTGATGTTATTGGACAAATGTAAATATTTTGTATTTATGAGCAGAAACAGTTATGAACAAAATATATCTCATCACCTTAAAGACAAGATAAATTTCAAATATTTAACAGAGACCCAACCAAAAAATTGAGATGAAAGCTGAAGAGAATATCTATTAACTTACAAAAATAAGTAACCTCCCTAAGAAGCTACTGTATGAACTTAAACCTCCTTATATATATGGTCTATCAAAGGAACATAAACCGGACATGCCACTAAGACCCAAAGTCTCAGAATATGGCAGTGTTACTGAAAGTCTGTCTTGGCTTATGCAGACAATTTTGGTGCCATTAACAAATTACTTTCCAGCATACTTAAATAATACACAAAACCTGCTATAGCGAATCAAGGATGTACCTCGCTTAGTGACCAACACAACAATACTCTATACATTGGATGTCATAGATCTCTACCAATCTATACAAACAGAGGATGGCACCAATGCAACATGTAGATTCATGGCAAATCACAGAAACAATTTGGAGACGTACAGACTGTCAACAGATACTGTCAGAGAAATCTTACATTTCATCCTTCACAATGAATATTTTTGTTTTGATAACAAACTATATCTCCAACTCAGTGATGTCTCAATGGGTAATAGTCACTGTTATTTATGCCATAATATTTATGCATGTTTTTAAAACAACAGCACTTGACAAATGGTGTCAAGATACTAACACTGGCCCTGATCTCTGGCTTAGATACATTGGTGACATGTTTGGACTATGGAACCACAGTCTATCATCTTTAATCCAATTTTTAGACTTTCTAAATTCCATAGACCACAACATCCAATTCACCATGAATCATTCGAATGACAAGAGGAACATAGATTTTCTTGACATCACTTTAAGGATTGACAATAACAATAACGTACTATCTACCTTGTTTCACAAACCAACAAGAAACACCTCTCTTTCTTAAGTTCAACTCCCATTATCCCAAAGCTATCAAGAAAGGTGCAATTATTGGAGAATTAAACAGAATCGATCACAACTGTAGTGAAAAAAAAAAAACACATGCTCCGAACTAAAATCACTTCTTCTGAGCAACAAATATCCACATTTTTATTACATCGAACAAATTTTCAAGGACTATGGTGCACATAAATCAGCATCGCACTTCCAACATGAGAAAACACAGATAAACAAGGAGGAAAAAAACAATTTTCCAAAGATAACACAAAAAAGTTATTTTTATAACACCTCTAATTCATGATGTTATCTCCAAAAAAATAAAAACTATAATCAGGAAATCTGAACTGCCAATTTAAGTCAAAGAATGGCCAGGCCCAACCCTAAAAAGCCAGCTTTCAAAATCTCAGTACACTGCCCTACAATGTAATAAAGCCAACTGTGTTACAAAAATGTGTTTGCAATCTAAGAATGAGTGTCTTTTCTCCAATGTTGTTTACCAGCTTACATATAACATGTCATAATACATACATACAAGAAACCGGAAGAACCCTACACACAAGGATGGGAGAACATATTGACATTCTTTATAAACAACAACATGAAAGAAGCACAGTTGCAAATCATTTTTAACTAATCATGAACAAGTAACAAACAACTAGAAACCACCATTCTTCATGCAAATCCTCACCAAAGCTACCAAGTACACTGACAGAAAATTCAAAAAAGCTTTTCTCATTTAACAACTACAACCACAGACAAATAGGTACAAGGGACGGTGCCTATAATTTTTATTATACTTTTTAATCTGTCTTTTTGTTATTTCAGTCTGTAACCTTGATAGAACTTTGTTTACTGCAGATAGTAGTTAATTATTTCAACAATATTCTTCTTCCAACAATAAACTTTACTACTTAATATGTCAAAAGCACATTATATAAATGCACATTATAGATTTGAATAAAATTTATTATTCAAACCATTTGAAGCTTTGTACTATCAATTTTGGTTTGTGTTTGAGTGAACGCTTCTGAAGAAGCTGTAAAGCAAAATGTTGAGTGTCTAATTAAATAAAAACATTTTGGTGTTGTAAGGTCATATATTTCTAGTATTAATATGTCTTCTATACTCCAATATGCACTACAGAAATTAAATAGTAATAAATATTAATCCAAATTCAAGTTTTTAGTCTTTAACTTACTAGGATTATAATCTAAAATATTTTAAATGTTATTACATGTTTTATAAGAAAGTTTAATTGACTTAATATTTAGTTTTGTCTTTGTACATCTGAAGAGGGTACACCACAAACCCTGTACCAACGAAAACAAAAAACTGAAAATGATATGAGGATGAAAAGGCACAAACATTTCAACACTGTAGTAATATATTTAAATTTAAAATATCACAAGCACAAGCAAATAATTAAAAGTATTCAGAAAAACTTACCTTGCAAAATACAAAATAAAATATACATTACCTTGTTGACATCTCATCACTAAAACGAAGAGCTAACTTCAGTTCCCTCTGTAAACATAAAATTAGTTTTGTATAAGAGCACTGAAAGTTCAGATAAAATAATCTATTACATAATTTTCTGTTAAAAATATATAGACATTTTTAATAAAGTTGTAAATGTTAGCTGTTACACATGTAAACTCTTACTGAGTGAGAGGGAGGTAACTTTCAATTTTATTTAACTATAAGACTATTTTTTCTTCTGATCTAATCCATTACTGTAGTATTTACACAACTGTATCTAACATGGGCTTAAATGCTTGTTGGATGACTTATTTTATTAACATTATTACTTCTCTTTCTGTTTATTAGGACAAAGTACGCATCCAGTTAGATATTTAGACAATATCCAGTGCAATGGACTCTTCATTTTCAAATTTAAGTTTCTTCTATATATGAGACTCTACAACAGAAGTTAAAATCTGACATATGGTGTATCCTCACAATGGCATTGAACTATTCTCTGATCTTCCATAGATACATATACAGGCACCTATTCCTCTGATACACTCTATGGTTAATATCTGGTCACATTTGTCTATTCTTCAAAAGTATTTATAGTATCTTTGTTTTTGGATAGGGTGCTTGATTTAAAATATACAGAGAGCAATCATGAGCTCCTTTTAAACTCAGGCATCAAGGCATATTTACTTTGCACTTGTGTACTTTGCACTTGTGTAACTACTATATAGACGTCATGATGAAAACTGAATTGAAGAGCTTGGGCTCATGATTTACATGGATATCCTATTTTTTATGCATACATAAAGGAGACATACATTTAACAACTTGAACTTTCATTTCTATGGCAATATTACCAGAAAGATTTAGAAAAATAATATTAGTTAGTTTAAAATATGGCTGATAACTTTATTTGGGTTAGGAAAGATATTCTGTAATTTCTTTTTTGCATCCAAGTCACATGAATAGTGGCATTAGTGCAAATTATTTCCAAGAATAAACAGGAGTAATGTAATTTAAGGTAAGGTAAATATAATGTGTTTTTGCCCCTTTTAATCTTTCTCTTTTTTCTTATAAAATCTATTTCATAATCTACCCCCAAACTTCCAAGTTTCAGGCTTATGGGATCAGATAAATGTAAAAAATTGATATAACTTAAAAGCAAATCTAGAACCTGAATTTTGGCTTAATACTACAAATAAATAGTACAGTGCAACTGATATGTTATAATACTATGTCCAGCCTGGTATAATCTTGTGTGGTAGCAATTTCTATTTTATTTATAGTTAAGATTTTGTTTATCATTATATATTTTTCATTTTATTATTTAATTTAACTATATTTTTATTTGCTTAAACTCTAGCTCACCTGCCTCTTAGTGATAATTAAATATTAAAGAACTCATTATTAAATTAAGGCATCAGAATGAGGTTCCCCTAGTGTTGATGTACTAATTTCATTATTGATTATGTATAACAAAAGTAGTTAGACATGTAACATGTCATGGTCTAGCAAGACAATGAAAAGATTTGAAGTTAAACTAGAGGTTCCCAAACCTGGTGTCACAACCCCAATTATGGTTGCAGAGAATTCAGATGAAGTTGTGAGTTTATCAGAAAAATATTGATACATACTGGCAAACAAAGCTGAATGGACCATTTGAAATACATATTCAAATAGATTTAGGATGTCTGACATAAGGTTGGCACTGAAAAAAGTTTGGAAACTGCTGAGTTAGACTTTTGTGAACAAGAGGAAGATATATCAGGATGTAGATTGGTTAAAGTACAATATAACATAACCTTAAGTTTTGGAACAACATGGGACCTATTGGTCCATCTCGGCTGTTCCATCCTCTAAACTAAATTAAAACTATTACTAAGTAAATAAATAAAAAACTTAAAGTCAGCCCGTATAATTCATATATATATATATATCAAGCTTTCTCTTAAATTTGCTTATATTTACTGCCTCCACATCTGAAGGCAACCCATTCCAAAGACCAAACACCTTGTTAGTAAAATAAAACTGTCTTAACTGAAGATGACTCCTACCTTGCCAAAATTTACATTTGTATCCCCTAGTCCTACTATTCTCACTTTTATATGAAAAAAAGATGATGAATCAACACTATCAATTCCCGTTACAATCTTAAACACCTCAATCAGACTCCTCACCAACTCTTTTTTTTCAAGAGAAAACAATATGAGAGATTTCAGCCTCTCCTTATAAGACAACCCCTCCATCCAAGGCACTATTCTAGTTACCCTTCTCTGAACACTTTCCAACAATTCAATATCTTTCCTAAAGTAAGGAGCCCAAGACTAAACATAAAATTCCAAATGTGACCTGTATAATGAAATTATAACCTCTTTAGACTTATATTAAATATTTCTGTAGATACAACCTAAAATCCTATTTACCCTACCACTAGCAACAGCACACTGCTTGGATGGCTTCAGAGACTGATCAACCATGACACCTAGATCCCTTTCGTTCAAAACACTGTTAAGGTTATTCCCATCCAAATTATACTAATAATTCACATTATGATAACCCACATGCATTATCTTGCATTTATTATAATTAAAACCCATTTGCACTTTATTTGCCCAACTCACTAAATGATCTAAATCCTTTTATAAATCAGCAGCATCATCTTCACAGCTGGAAACACCCAAGACTTTAATATCATCTGCAAATTTAAGTAATTTATTGACCATTCTTTCATTTATGTCATTAATGTAAATCAAAAAGAGCAAA